TGATTTCTAAAGTTTTCCTGCTGGACACAAGATGTCTCCTACTTCACTGTGACGTCCAGTCAGTGTATGTGCACTGGTGGCTTCAGGTTTCTACTTCACACTTGTATAAGTTGCATACTGGACCAGGATTGACAAAAATGAATGAATGATGGACAGTAAAGATCAAACATCCAACTGTAGGAACAAGAAGATAATCCGATTTTTGAGTGTAAGGGGACTTTAAGATATTAAATACGGTGACTTTATTAACTACTTTTGCATTTTGAACATCAAAACAAGGACAAGGACAACATCTGGACCTTGATCTCGATGATATATTATATTATTCTTTTTATTACTATTTGGAGTAATAGCAGTAGTAAATCATTTACTGTGTAGCCATATTTATCACTATATTCTTACTTCTTACTTACAGTATGTTGGATATTTTATTGTATTCTACATTATATACTAGATCTATGTATAGTACATAGTCTGAGGAAACTTAAAGTGTATATGGTACTGTATATAACATACACCTAACAAATTTCTATTGTGCTTATAATTATACATGTGAATATAAAGACAATTTAAAGTTATATCTTGTGTTATCTTCCTATCTAATCTAATTGTATCATGCCATTTTATTACATTTTGGAGTGGGTTTAAGAAAAGGCTACAAAAATAAACTTAATGTCTGTATGTTATTGTTTGTATCCGTATTAAAATGTCTGTTCCTAAACTGATCATCTGATGTAAACACCCCCAAATTAAAGTCAGCACACATAATCCTTGTTTCATTTTAAATCCAGTGTGTAAAACACTGCACTCCTGTACACCAACCTGCATAAACAAATAGGCTACGACAGAGAACAACATTTCCCATGATGCCCGGCTCCACTGCAGACCCGCCCCCTTCGTTTGAATGGCAAGTTGTTTGTTTCAGTCCGACCAGCTGCTAACTATTCCAGTCGGAGAGCAAACATGGGGAACAGCGGTCCTCTGCTCTCCCATTTAACAGGTCTGACAAGCTACCGGGCGCTGCTGAGACACACACTTCTGCTGTGTCTTCAAAATAAAAGCACCTGGCCTCAAACTATTAAAAACTCCCATTCAAATTCAGTGTCTGGATGAACCTTGTGCTAGGATTTTAGAAATACTGAGGTCATGAGCTTTCATTTTCTTTATTTCTTTCTCTTTTTTTTCATGTTGTAGTAATCAGGTTAGCTGATTTATGCAAATTTTATTTAATTTGAGCATCCCTTTTGATGAAGTGTATAAAGTCTGTAACAGCTAAACTCAACTAAACTATCTTTTCCCTATTATTAGAACCAGGTGACATACGTCAGAAGGAATATAATATAACGAAATTATAAGGAAATATTACTCAAGAATGTGATTTATATTATAATTTCAAACTTAATAAATAAACAAGCCAGGAGATATGGCTATATTTTAATTACCTAGACAGAAAACAGAGTTGGAACTTAACTTGGAGGTTAAAAATTGTATTTATTGTACATCGGACATAATATTTATTCATCCAAATGGATATAAATACATATATATATATATATATATATATTTATATGGGGGTTTGTGCCACTTGACTCTGAGCAGTTGCTAGGCAACCAGTGGAGCTCCTAGTTAAGTCATGGTTAGCTGTGGCTGGTAAATGATCAATGATGGAAAAGAGGTCCCTTAGGACAGTGATTCCCAACCTAAGGGTCGGGACCCCCACTAGGGGTCGCCAAAGCTTCACAGGGGGTCGCGAGACCTTCTTGACTTTAAAGGGTGTAAGAAAACTTAAAACGTTTTAAGATCTAAACTTCAAAGACCTGAACACAAGCTGGAGCTTTCACTCCCCAACAAACAGCCTCATCGTGCATTAATAGAGCACACAGTTAAAGCTAATAGAACAAGTGTCAAGAAAACACTGAATTTGTCAACACAACAAATTAAGCCTATGAAGTATGTATGATTGTTAAATATTTTAAAATACATAAAACAGACTAAATAAAAATTGTATAAAATGTCCCAAAAAATATCAGTAAAACTCATCTCTCATGCAATATTCACAGGAAATCATCTCCACTGAATTTAATGTGAAATATCCATGAATTGTGTTACTTCTCATCTTCAGTTCAGTCTTCATCTTCAGTCTTCAGTTTAGTCGGTTTCTTGTTTAGACAGAAAAGAGGTTGGGAAACACAGGCTTAATGTGCTGTAGAGTTTTATTTTGAAAACCTCCGACCAGAAGTGTGAGCGGTTCCGTTGCAGATTTGACAGCAGGTCCGTTTTTTTTTTTTTGTACCTCTTTGCTTTCTTTATTCCACCCTGCCTGCCTGTTTCTTTCTCTATTTAAAACGCCCCGAAGCCTGTCGTATGTGTGTATTTATTTATTTATGCATCTCACTTCAAAGTATTTAGGCTTTTGTTTTTTGTTTCTTTGTTTTACATTTTAGTCGCTCCTCAAATGAGAAGACGTAAAAGATGGAGCTTCATATTTTAGAGCACAGCTTGAAAGTGGCGAGTATAGAGAAAGAGGGGATCCAGATTTGCACCCACGGATTAATAAAACTCGCTTTCCTGGCCTCCAAAACAAGGTAGGTAACTTCCCACAGCCCGACAGCTACATGAAAGGCACACTGTGTCATTGTGTTTCTCCCCATGCTCCACAGTGCTGGACGTGTTTACTGTAAGGGTCCTGCTGTTAACACTAGCAAAGTAATGCCGGGAGTGTGTGTCTGT